AAGAAAGAAAGAAAGAAAGAAAGAAAGAAAGAAAGAAAGAAAGAAAGGAAGGAAGGAAGGAAGGAAGGAAGGAAGGAAGGAAGGAAGGAAGGAAGGAAGGAAGGAAGGAAGGAAGGAGAAATGATAAATATATTATAGAGAGAGGGAAGGGGAGAGAAAGAAAGAAAAATGATAGATATATTATACATCGATAGAGAGGGGGAAGAAAAAGAAAGAAAGAAAGAAAGAAAGAAAGAAAGAAAGAAAGAAAGAAAGAAAGAAAGAAAGAAAGAAAGAAAGAAAGAAAGAAAGAAAGAGAAATGATAGATATATTATAGGTAGATATAGAGGTGGGAGGTGATAGAGATATAAATGATAGATATGATAGAAATATAGATGAGGTAGATAGATAGATAGATAGATATGATAAATAAAGCTAGAAATGAGATAGATAAATATGATAATGGATGGACGGATGGATGGACGGACAGTCAGATGGACAGACAGACAGACCAGATTGTGCTCCACTAAGGGCCAGGTCCTTTTCATCAAAAGAAGACTGATAACCTTGAAAATAGGAACAAGGAGAGTAGCTCACTAGGACGTTTAGTGAAGAGGGCAATCTTCATGGGGAATGTTTGAGATGTTAAAATGTGCAAACATGTGTAGAAGGGTAACCATCCCTGCAAGCAACGAATGTTTGCTAAAAGATACAAAACAAAGGGCCATGCATGTTTTGTGAAAATGAGGGTTGGGTTAAACCAGGAGGAGTTTATGGAAGCTTGAAGGCCGATTCTTAAAGGTGTTGGCTAAAACAAGAAGGAATCAGTCAAAAACGAAGGCCATCCATCTCGACGAAGGTGGATTGAATAGGAAAAAAAAAATGACTGGCCAGGACGACAGAAGTATGTTGGGTTTGGTGGCCGCAGAAGGAGAATGAATAAGGATGGGTTCCTAAAATAAATACGCAAAAGAGAGTGACTTTGGCCGAGGGGGGAGCAGGACTCTTGAGATAAATAAAGAAATCGAAGATAAGGAGGCGAGAAGAATGCGGGAGAAGCGGAGATGGGTGGCCAGGATAGAAGAGCACGGAGTCATAAGTGAACCACGTTGGTTATAAACTACTTTTAGCTATGTTTGTTTTCCTTTCCTTTTTCTTATCTTCCTCCTTACTTCTTTGCTCCGCTCCACCCTACACCGCTTCTCTCCAAGGGGAACAAGAGTTGGGTGGACTACAGCGTTGATGGATCGAGACCTTCCGTCGGTCCGCTAAAGGGCAGGAATTCCCTTGCAGACAGACAGACGGACCCATGGGTTGGCCTTAAGGAGCTCGCTTTAAAACAGAGCTTTCCTTGGTGATGTCTAGCAACTTGCAGTTTTCCTTCGAGGAAGCTTTTCTGCTCTGGATCCTAACATCCCAAAAACTCCGTTTTATTTGCAGGGATTTCTGTATTCCCCACAGGGGAAGGCGGGGGGCATAACAGGTTGAACTATACTCTAAGCTGGCCTCCTCTTGAAAATCTTACTCTCTTTCTTCCAAGGACTCCCTGCCTGCCCTCCCCCCCTCCCCTCCCCCAAGTCTCTTCCCTTCTTCCTCCCACAAACCTGGATTGTAAACTATTTCCTGGCACATTCCAGCCTATTTCATTCTTGCTGACAGAAAATGCCTTCAGCAGATTCTTATTTCCGTAAAGGTCTTTTTATTTTTTTATTTTTTTTTGGCTTCTTTGCTGAAGCAAGGAACGATCTCCATGGAACAAAAGTCAGAATCGGAATAGAGCTGGGAGGGACCTTAGAGGTCTTCTAGTCCAGCCCGCTAGCAGGAGATCCTATACCCGTGATGGCGAACCTAGGGCACGCGTGCCACAGGTGGCACACAAAGCCACGCCAGCCGCAGGCAAACTTTTACCTCACTGCGCATGCGTGTGCCTCCCAGCTGATATTTTTTGTCCCGTTTCAGTCCTTTTTCGGCCTCCTAGATGCTTGAGGACAGCTACTGGGAGGCCCAAAAAGGACTGAAACAGGCCGAAAATCAGCCGGGAGGCGCAATGCAGGTAAGGGGGGGGATTGCGTGCGCATGCAAGGAGTGTGTGGCGCCCCCTCACGCGCATTGCCTTCTGGGTGCTGGCATGTGAGCACACAATTTTTGGCACAGGAGCCCAGAAAAGGTTAGCTACCACTGTCCTATACCATTTCAGACAAGTAGCTGTCCAGCTTCTTAAAAACCTCCAGTGATGAAGCCCCCACCATTTCTGGTGGCAAGTCGTTCCACTGGTTAATTGTTCTCACTGTCAGGAAATTCCTCCTAAGTTCTAGGTTGCTTCTCTCCTTGGTTAGTTTCCATCCATTGTTTCTTGTCTTGCTTTCTGGTGCTTTGGAGAATAGCTTGACTCCCTCTTCTTTGGGGCAGCCCCTCAAATACTGGAAGACTGCTATCATGTCACCCCTAGTCCTTCTTTTCATCAGACTAGACATACCCAGTTCCTGCAACCGTTCTTCATATGTTTTCGTCTCCAGACCTTTGATCCTCTTAGTTGCTCTTCTCTGCACTTGTTCCAAAGTCTCAACATCTTTTTTTGTAATGTGGGGACCAAAATTGGTTGCACTAGTCCAGGTGTGGCCTTACTAAGGGTTTTATAAAGTGGTACTAATACTTCATGCGGTTTTGATACTATGCCTCTGTTTACACAACCATGGATTGGATTTGGGTTTGGAGGCTGCTGCTGCACGTGGCTGGCTCACGTTTAAGGGATCGTCCCCTCCCTTGCAAAATTTGGCACGTTCTCAAAGTCAGTGGACCATACTTGGAAAAAGGCCCCGACTGAAGGTATCCCTTGTGGTTGCCTGTGTTTGTGGCCTTGCAGGTTGTGCAGGTTGTGTTAAATGGGAGGGGGATTGAGGCTGCTTTCAAACAGAAGGCCAGCCCTGTTGGGTTGGCTAACGGAGCACAGCTGGAGCAATATCACACCTACCCTAATGGAGGGATTTAGTTTAGTTTACTTTATTGTCATTGCACCTCCTTCAACAAAATTATATGTCTTAAGTGTACAAATGATGACTATGAAAATAAACACAAACACACATCCCTCACACTCCATGCATTGACTTGAAAACCCCTGAAATTGTATTAATATTGCACTATGCAGTTTTCTCTCCCTTCTGTGACTTCAGGGCTTAATGCTGGCCCATTGCATTCAGTAAAACAGGGGTCCCCAACCACCGGGCCCCGGACCGGTACCGGTCTGTGGATCATTTTGTACCGGGCCGCCTATTTTGCTTGGGCGCCACCATCTTGTTTCGACGGCGCTTGAGAAAGTGCTTCCGGGTGAGCTTGTCGGTCGTCGGTTGGAAAGCGGCGTTTGGGTGCTGAAGGAATCCTCGTGCCTTAGTTTCGTCGAGGGGGGGGGGCGGCTTCGAACGAAGAGCCGTCCCGATGGCGGTGGAGTCTCACGTTACTCAGGAGGAGATTAAGAAAGAGCCTGAAAAGCCCATCGACCACGAGAAGGTACAAAGGAGGAGTTGAAGGTGGCGGGGAGAAGCGGGGGACGGCTGGCTGGCCGGTCGCTCGGCTCGCCTTGCCTTGGTTGTGTGTGCTGATGCCGGTACCGGTCCGTGGATCATTTGTACTGGTCCATGGTACAAAAAAGGTTGGGGACCACTACAGTAAAAGGCTCCTTCACAACAAACTTCCATATTGGAAGGAGGAAGGTCTACACTGATCCTTTCGCCCCTTAGCTTCTCTTCCAAGACCTGAGTTGGCCTCCTTGTGTAAGCCAACTGTGAAGAGACCCGATCAGGGCAGGCTGAGTGCAAGGACGCTGCGGCAGCAGATCTCCACCGCGGCCAACAAACAAATGAGGAATCCAAACATGGCTTCCCAAGGGAAAGTTCCATCTTTCATTAGCCACCAACAAGGGACCCTGAGAGGACTGTGTGAATTAATCTGATGTGGGGGTAGAAGCGCAGGACTCGGAGGGAATATACCACTCCCCGCCCCCATTTAAGCCGTGGCAGCTCCAGAAAAAGGTTATTTTAGAAGGAGATGATAGAACTGAACTGGAATGGAATGAGGGTTTATAATTACATATATTTACAATCTTTTAAAGAATATAGTGTGTATTATAAGAATGTACCAAGCAGAATTCGATTGGAAGTTATGTATTATGTATTATATTGAAGGTCATAAACTTAAGGTATATATTGAAGTTTAAATAGGAGTTGAATGGATGTAATTAAAAGATATAAAGGTGTCCTACTCCAGTTAGTAACTACAGGAGAAAATTTGTTTAATGAGAAAAGATAATATGAATTTGAAACAGAACAGACAAAAGTGTAAATATAACGATTTGAATTGAGATGAGATAATCAAAATAAAATTGAGAAAATTGAAAGAGGGGGAAAAAACTATATAGAAAATGTAAAATAGTATAAGATATGGAATAGAATACAAAAAGGAGCATGAAATTGAGTTGTGTGTCTGTATAAAGAAATTCAACCCGGGACCGTGCTATTTTCAAAAAAGATGCTTTTTACTTGTATTTTGTGTGTGAAAACCCAAATAAAACTTTATTTAAAACAAAAAGAAGATAAATAATCCAGAACTTTTGTTTATCTGGCCAGCATTCTTGGGGATTAGTGGGGATGTGTGTGAGGAGCTGGAAGAGGCCAGAGGCTTCTTAATCAGGGCTAATGACTCTTAACAATCCACAAATACTTAACGATCCCCAACAGTATTTTAGCCTGGTATGTCTGTCGCCTTCCAGGGCTAAATGAATTCCAGTCCACCTGAAATTCATCTGAATGGTGCATAGAGAAGAACTTGGATTGAAGTCAATCAATCAATCAGAATAGAGCTGGAAGGGACCTTGGAGGTCTTCTAGTCCAGCCCCCTGGTCAAGCAGGAGAACCTATACCATTTCAGATAAATGACTGTCCAGTCTCTTCTTGAAAGCCTCCAGTGATGAAGCTCCCGCAACTTCTGGTGGCCAGCTGTTCCACTGGTTGATTGTCCTCCCAGTTTGGAAGTTTCTCCTTCATTCCAGGTTGCTTCTCTCCTTGGTTAGTTTCCATCTGTTGTTTCTTGCCCTCTGGTGCTTTGAAAAATAAATGCCCCCCTGCCCATCTCTCCTTTGTGGAAGTTTCACAAAGTTTGCGAAATAGTTGTGTATATAGTTATTGTGTAATAGTGTGCAAGCTCAGCGGCTCATTCCCCTCTTCCCTTTTCTGTGCGCCAGGGATCGAATGTGCCAACGAGATCGACGAATGCCAAGATGACCCTTGTGAAAATGGCGGTACCTGCGAAGACACCATCGCTGACTATATCTGCCGTTGCACCTTCAACCCAGATGGCGTCTCCTGGGGTGGGAAGAACTGCTCCGTGGAGCTCACGGGGTGCGAGGCCCACAACTGCCAAAACGGGGCGTTGTGTGTCCCCACCTTCCAACGGGAGGCCCACGGCTACCTGTGCCAATGTCCTCCTGGATTTTATGGGCCCACCTGCACCACCCCAACCACCTTCTCCCTCACGGACAACGGCTACCTCTTAATCAACGCATCGGCAGATGATAAGAACACAAGTGGCCACGGAGCCAGCGTGGCTCTTCGGTTCCGGACCACCCTTCTCAATGGCCTCCTTTTCTACCGAGGCCACCAAACCGAACATCTACTCCTGGAACTCTACGCTGGCCTTCTCCAGGTGATGCTCTTGAGCCAGGAGGCCAATGTATCTTTCACCCTGGAGGCACCTCCGGTGAACGATGGCCACTGGCACAAGGCGGAGGTCTCTCTGCGGGAGTCTCTTGAATTCAGGCTGTGGCACGAAGCTTGCCAAGGAGGCATCTGCCTGTTCAGCCACCCGCTTGGCGAGACCACCCCTCTTTCTCTACTACCCTCATTTCTGAATATCTACGTTGGTGGGGTTGAAGAGACCTTAACGATCAACTGCACGAGACACTTCACTGGTTGCCTGGAAGACCTGCAGATTGACTCGAAGATACTCCTACCAGAGGACGTGGAAGGTCTTCAGCTTCCTGGATTTCAACTGGGTTGTGAGAGAACGGAGTGGTGCCAGTCTCAGCCTTGTTCCCACGGGGGTCAATGCGTTGACTTCTGGACAGACTTCCGTTGTCACTGCTCCCGGCCTTACGAAGGCCACACTTGCTCCTACGGTGAGTAGCATGAGAGGGCTCCCATTAGCCTCCTCAAGAGAGAGAGTGAGCGGGAATTTGGGTAAGAAATAAAAATATTTCCAGGAAGAATGATAGGAGACGGTGGTAGGTGGGGAATACATCTGTTTTCTTTTGGTAGAATAACAGGAATTTGTTTTGGGGTCCTTATCCACGATGAAGGAAGACAGAGAGAAGTTAGTGCCACAACCATTAAATGGCCCCATGGAACAGCGTAACAAATTTTCAAGGGACCTTGGAGGTCTTCTAGTCCAGCCCCCTGCTCAAGCAGGAGACCCTATAACATTTCAAATAAATTCAGTCTCTTCTTAAAAGCCTCCAGTGTTGGAGCACTCACAACTTCTGGCGACAAGCTATTCCGTTGATTAATTGTTCTAAGGGTGAGCAAATTCCACCTTTGTTCTAAGTTGCTTCTCTCCTCGATTAGCTTCCACCCGTTGCTTCTTGTCCTGTCCTCAGGTGCTTTGGAGAATAGCTTGACTCCCTCTTCTTTGGGGCAACCCCTCAAATATTGGAACATTGCTGTCATGTCACTCCTAGTCCTTCTCTTCCTTCATCTAGACCAGGGGTCCCCAAACTTGGCAACTTCAAGACTTGTGGACTTCAACTCCCAGAATTCTCTGGCTGGAGAATTCTGGGAGTTGAAGTCCACAACGTTGCCACGTTTGGAGACACTCAATTCCTGCATCCGTTCTTTATATGTTTTAACCTCCAGTCCCCTAAATGTACATTATTCAAGACTTTCCTAGAGCCCAGAACTCCATAATCCTCTGAAAAACTGTCCCCTCCAAGCAGAAGCCATTTTGAAAACTCTCAAAAAGATGTGATGGTTGAACCCCTAGCAGTTTCCGAGTAGTTTGGCTCAGAAATGGAAAGCTTTTTTCTCTCTCTCTTTTCCAGAGTCACCTGCAGCCACATTTGGCCAGGACAATTCTTCTAGTTTTGCCACTTTTGAGGTTCCCAACAGCCTCGGACCCAATTTTAACCTCTCCTTTTTTATCCGGACACGGAAAGCCAGTGGTTTCATCTTCCAAATCGGCAATGGGAGCGACGTTTTCCTTACGGTCTACCTGAAGGACGGGAAGCTCCGGATCGAGTCGCCGTCGGCTGCTTCGGTGGGGCCTCCCGGGAATCTGGCCGATGGCACCAGACACTTCGTGGCGCTCTCCTTCCGCGAAGGCTTTGCTTGGGCCAGCCTCCTAAACCGAGAAGAAGAAGAGCTGGGAGATCTGGCCGTCGCCTTTCTGGCCGCTAATTTTGAGATCCACGTGGGCGGGCTCCCCCACCAAGAAAACCTGGAGTCTTGGGGAGGCCCTTTTAAAGGCTGCCTGCAGGATATCCAACTCAATCACCGCCAGATGCAGTTTTTCCCTCCTCCAGATAACGGAAGCCTCCCACAAAACGTGTACGTGGGGCGGAACCAGAACGTTGTTCCGGAATGCCTCTCAGATAATGCCTGCAAGGTAAGGACCAGGCTGAAGGGGGGGGGGCTCCAGACGTACCCAGATATTGCTGAATGTGGGGAAAACGTCTCTATGGGTGGGATGAAAGGATGCACTGGGTGTCAGGATTCCGGCAGTTACCCCCATTTAAAGCATAAGTCGCGAGACAAACTTCCAAAACTTGGGCATTAACATGTCCGTCGCTGTCTGGGTGTAGCCGACTCTGAGACACATAATTCATTGTCACCCTTGACCCTGGTTTTCCCCCCACCCCTCTGGGTGTATCGTAATTCATATTCTCCAATGGGACACATCCCTAGCCAAGAGCCATCCATCATGTTCTCCAGTTAGAATTTTGCACGGCGGAAACTTCAGTCACCTAGTTACTATCTGTGAAAACATTTGTGGAATGCACTTTCAGTTTGCAAGCTGCCGCATTGCTCCCCCCTCCCTTTCTATTGGCAACTCTACAAAGACCATAGAAATATCTTATGAGTTGGCAGTGGGTGGACCAGTGGCCAGTTATACTTGCAGCCTTATGCTCTGAGAGATTGTTAAATTGTGGGCGGGGACGACATCAAACGGTTGATGATTACGGGCAAAACAAGAGCGGAGCAGAACACCTCTTGCTAAGCCTCACCTGGTGGCGTGACTCCCGTGGACAAGACTGTGGCAACCCAGTTTGTCAGAAGAAAGCGTTGTGTTGCGCAGTGGCTCACACGTTCGTGCCGAAGCGCTTCTGCAGATGCAATTTAGGAAGCCTCTGGGGTGGGGGGTGGGGGTGGCCGCTTCTGCTATAATCTGGTTTGGAGAATAGCTAAAATGAGATTGATGAGCCTAGCTTAGATGCTCCAAGAGATATAGCCTTTCCTTGCTGTGTTCTTACTTCTCATGCGGCCAGAAGGAGAAAGATCTGGAGAACAAGACTAAGGAAAGCCAGCAAGGTGAGGTATGGATCTTCTCTTTATCTTC